GCCTATCCGCATATCAATCTTGTTTTCTGCCGAGGCCGACTTGTCATCCGGGTTGATTGGGGCGTCAAACCGAACTCCTCGGGGTTTGGGAGGTGGTTGTACCGGCGCTCTGACGGACGGCGAAGCATTCGATGACATCGAGGAGCTCATGTTAAGGAAACTGCTCAGGCCACCAAACCAACTGAATGTCTCGTCCAGTCTTTGTAAATCGAGCTGTATCAGTAGAGGTAAAGTAGTCACTTCTGTCCGAATTGAGTCGGCCGACTTGACCACCTTCACAGTCACGTCGGAGCCGGCTGAAGGGAACTTGTCCATAACAGAGGCCCTCATCTGAAGGCTCTGATCGAATGAGATGATGTCGTCCCTTGCGTAGCCGAAGCGGAACTTTTCGAGATCTACGGTCGTTTCTAGACCCTTCTGCGATGACTTGAGTGATACGTTGAGATTATCAAGATCTGTTCGGAGGAGAATCTCAGGTTGCATCTGCAAACCAGGAGAGCCCAGTATTCTCTCCGCCGTATCGGCAACACCACCCAGTTGGTGGAGGAAGTGAAGTGAAATTTTCTCAAACACAACGTTAATATCGGGCATGGTCGATTCCTGCTGTGGCTTTGCAGCCGTCTTTGGAGCAGGAGAAGGACTGTCTTTACTCTTCAATGCATCCAACAGCTTTCCAGCCACGACCGCGAGTAGGTATGCCAGTGAAGCGTCGAAACGTATTTCCAAGGGCGACAAAAGAACCTCCAGCGCCCCATCGTTGTCTGGCTCGGCGACGGGAAGCTCGGTTGGCATTGGCGCAAAGCCTGATCTCGATGCTGACGGCTGAGAATACACTGAGAACGCTCCGGGAAGTTGAGGTGCGACTGATCTCGCCAGACCAGGTGAGCCTGGTGTTTGGCTCAGAATGGAGGCTTGAGTATCGGCTGGCACATGTACATGCTGATGCAGCGATGGAACATAGAGGGAAATGTTTTGTAGAGAAACAAGTTCTTTGACCAGTCTCGTCGGTCCTCTTGGAGTTGCCACGTCGTCGGCCGGTGCTGGCGCATCTGCGAACTCGTCCCTTGTGAAACTCGTCGATGGCGGCTCCTTTGCATCCTCAAATCCAGGATCGGCCTGATCTGTTGGTAGCGGCGACTGAGACCTTTGCGATGCCGGCGCTTCCATATTGTCAAGAGGTTTTTGCTCAGGAATACTAGGGGCTGCTTCGAATGCTGGCGGAGTTTGTTGTCTCGGTACGGGGCTCGACTTCTTCAGCTTGGGAGAGGCTTCTGGACTCGAATCTGCGTCCCACCCTCCTGGCATCCGCGATCCAGATGGTTCGGCCTGCGAAAAGGCACTCATGTACATGCTCTCAGCTTCTTCGTGCGTAAAAACGTGAGATTGCGCCAGATCATCTACCTCGCCAGAGCTCGAGCTCTGAGAGGCTGCAACGGATTGCTGCAGCGCCTCAGTAGGTCCGAAATCACCCACATCATTCAGCATGTCATTGTCTGCTGATTGTAGCGACGGTTCTGACCTCGCTTCTCTTTGGAAACTGGCCCACGGTACAGGCCCATCTTCGTCTCCCTGGATGGTGGACTGGGATAGTGGAACGTGTCTTTGAGGAGAAAAGTCTTGATATATCGAGGCTCTGGGCGTTGTCGGTTCCTCCTCTTCTACTTGTTCCTCTGGTTGACTCGAGAAATCGTATGGAATATTGAACGCTTCTTCGCTGTCCTGTAATAACGTATCGTCAACCTCGGACAAGTCTGTAGAATCAGAGAGAAAGCTCTCTTGCATGGTTGGTCGGAAGGTACTGTGTCTTGATGCCGAGGTGCGCTCGCTGAAAGATGGTGATTGAGAAACGGCTGGAGATGAGACGGACGGAGAGCGTGCAAACTGCGAGAAGACAGTTGCCTCAGAAATCAAATAGGCACGTATCTTGGACAACGCAATGTGCCGCTTCCCGTCTTTCGGCACAATCGTCGGCGCACCCTCGTCGTTGTGCGCCTCCGCGGTGACACCTTCAACATCTATGCGATCTAACGCGAGCTGGAAAGTGACGAGCTCCGGCGTTGTCGAGTTTGGCTCGAGGGGGACTTCGACATCCATCTGGAATGTGACCCCTCGGATGCGCACCTGGATGCGGTCGACGATGCCCTGGAGGAAGCCGGCCAGGAATCCCGGCAGGGACAACGGCTGCCCTGTACCGAACTGGCTTCCATCGTCGCTCATCGAACTTTCACTCATTGTGGAACCGCCCAGATCCTGTGTCTCGGCCGCAAGAGCATCCTCCAACCTCCTCTTCTCTTCGGCAAGTTTCGCATCTTTAAGCGCCGCATCTTCGTTTAGGAACGACTGCGCGAGGTTGACCGTATTCGGCAGACCCTGAGTATCGTCACTCCTCGCCACGGGCTTTGTCTTTTTGTCGTCGCCAAGAGTTGACACCTTCAACCGGACGTCGATACCGTCGATTTCGATAATTATAGGGCTCGTGTAAAAGTCGACGGGAATAGTAACGTTGAGTTTAAGCACTTTGGCTTTCTGGACTTGGAACGAAGCGGGGAGCTGGAGAAGTCGTTCGAGTTTCTAGAGGGTACGTAAGGATCTTGTTAGTCCTCCGACTTGGTCATGAATCTCAATCAAGCGACCGGCTGTGAGACGGGACATACCTTGAGGCGCACTCCAACATCCTTGAACTCGGCCGTTGTTGTCCTGCCCAGCGCAAACTGTAGGTTTTCCATATCGAGCGTCTCCTCGTCCAACAGCTCCAGACGTCGCAGAGCGTAGATGAGAAGGCGCTTCGACAGAGTCGAGCTCCTGAAGCTCTGGAATATCGTCGCCATGTTGAGCTCGGTGTTCGCAACCCTCGGAGGGTTGCTCTGTTGGGGGAGGGGGGGAGAAGAGCGACGGTAGCTCGTGGTTTATCGATCGGCTTGGGGGTCTCGGAGGTGCAAGGTAGGAGGATAGCCTCGAAGTTACAGAAGGTTGACCCGAATGTGGTCCTTAGGCTGGAGGAAGTAGGAAGCTGCGCTGGTCTTGAAGCGAATTCGGAGGGTCAATACGCTGCGGTTCACCGTGCATGGGTATTGCAGGCTGCAATCGCCGTGTTATCAAAAGACACCCTGCCCAAGGCGGGGGCGTTGTTCATGGTGTGCTGGTCATCCAGGGAAAGGTTTCGCTACGACAGAGGTTCAGATGTCGAGATAGATCGTAGGTGGAGTGGAAACTAGGTACAAGTGAGGAGGCAAAGGCCGACGGGGGCCGGAGAGGCGGAATTAAAGAGGTCGGAGATGTACAAGGGAAAAAAGAAACAAGAAGGACAAGAAGGTGTCAGGTAGTTCAAGGTTGGACCCAAAGCGCTTTAGTTGGGCAAAGGCAAATGCAGATGGAACTCCAAGAAGAGTAAGGTACAGAGGAGGAGACCTTGGTGTGCTCTTGGACAGCGGCAACCGGTGGTGGTGGTGGTGGTGGTGGTGGTGACAAAAGAGTAAAACCTAAGGCAGATAGATCATTGATGCCCGGACGTTGTGATGAGCCAAAGCCGTGACTAAGGTAAGGTAAGGTGAGGCAAAAGGTAGACAGACTGTTGACTGGGCTGTACATGTACAGATGGGAGGCAAAGGAGGTCTGGACAAAACGCATGCATGAGAGCATGAGCAACAACGAAGCATGAGCAATGAGGAGGAGGAAAGGCGGGACACAGGCATCCAGGTCACTCCCGTCACTCACTCCCAGCCAAGCAAATGCACTAAAGATTGGTTGCCCCCCACCCACTGCCTCTAACAGCGCGTGACTCTGGCCGAGTTCACGTCACCGTCAACCGACAGGGTATGGCAGGGGTCCTCTATCAGTTGACTTGCTCCAAAATGGGCTTTTATCGATAAGGTAAGGTAGACAAGGGGAGAGCAATGACCGTGGCTGAAGCCGATAGGACGGTTTGATGTTGGGGGCATTCAGGACCACCTCAGTGAGGTGGACACTGGAGAGGCGAGGGTAGGGGAGGGGCTCCATGAGTCCATCACCTGTGACTGTGAGGAATGTCCCCTCCATGGTGGTGCAGTGTCCCGTGCGTCCGTTCCACCTGATTGATGCAGAACCCGCCACGCCTCTGTTGCTCGCCTCGATATTGGATCTCACTTCACGGTGCGGAGTACGTACCTCTTTGTCTTGTCCCCAAACACCAGACACGAATAATCAAAGATGACTTCAACTACACATGAACTTCACCCACTGACATGTTTCTTGACTGTCCAGGCTCATTCACTCCATGGGGGGAACTGTTCTATGTGCTCTTCAATTTCTTGTGGTATTATGCTAACTATCTCTCACATAGTAGCCCAGGCATATACATAGCCCAGAGAGTGTTGGGGTTATGTACAGTACCTAGATGTACACAACTTTATCTTTCCCTCAGAGACTTATCTGCATGTGAAGTTGTCATGAGAGAAGGACAGACCCACATTCCACCAGCCATCAAGTTGTCTAGCATGTCTTAGCCAATTTCAACACGATTCCCATTACAAGACTCGGATCAACAAGGAGCAGACAACAAGGAGCAGACAACAAAGGCGCAGAACGAAATGGTCTGGGAAGTGTCTGTCATATTAGCCTCTCTCGCCCGAGTGACATTGTTTCAGATCATCAGAGCTCAGATATGCAATCCAGACGTAAGAAGTCTTTCCAAGATTCACCAAGCGGGGATGAATGCAGCATAGCAGTGTTGAGGCTCTTCGCCCTAAAAAAAAATATACTCATTGTAAATAGTCGTTGAAGAATCAAATGACGGCCGTCATCGTCGTGGTCATCTCATCTACATCAAAGAGAACGCAGCACAAAGGCTCTCGGCAGAGTAACCCTGGCCAGACTGCAAGACACCAACTACTCCCACCCATCGCCCACCATGCAGCATTCGCCGTACGAATCGCCCAATTCCGAGCCATGCCACCACAATCAAGGCTGACCGAGAGATGATTCCATTGGCCGGGCTTCCGTAATGCCGACAATCAGTGCCCTAGCTACTGGTCTTCCCCTGGCGTCTTGCTGCTCGCCCGCCCGTGGGCCTCGGCAACCCTTCGGCCGACACTCTCACCGCTCCAGTAGGCTCCCGTCGCCGTCCCTAGCGCCACGAACGGCGCCGTGTGTTCGCCCGCCAGCCATAGACCGCCTTCCGGTACGCCTTCCCGCATCGCTTCAATGTCCTTGTCGCCCTCCAACAGTCCCGTTGGGAAATTGCTGTAGCTGCCATTGCCGGCCAGATCGTCTCGCAGCCAGTCCGTCGACAGACTTCCCGTCGGCTTGCAATCGGGCGAATTCTCGTCGTAGTGTGGTAGGCGGGAGTAATAAGGCTTAAAGAAGTCGTACAAGAAATAGTTTCTCTCTGGTATCGTTTTCAACCTCGACACTCCTTCCGTAATGAACTTGGACTCCTCTCCGAAAATGTAGAACAAGAGCGTCGGGTGCGAATGCTCGCCTATCGAGGCAAGATCAACAATCTCCTGGTTCCATCTCTTCGGGTTGGTCTCTTGCGTATACGTTGGCGCAAGCCATTGACAGAAGCCCTGCACCACGCGACCCTCTGCGTCGGGCTCAAGCCAAAACGCTTTGGGAAAGCTGATGTATACCTTTTCCAAGCATCCATAACCGATGGCCTGGATTCCACGCTCGAGTCTCTCAGGCAACGGCGGTTCGAATGCTTCAAGGTTTTTCTTCAGCCAGCCCAGGGGTGCCGTCATGACGACGTCGTCAAACTCCAAGACCTCACCAGTGTTGGTGTGAACCCTCGGCTTCGGACGCTCCGATGTTTTGAGCTCCACCTTGGTAACGATAGTATCGTACTTGACATCGGCATTGTGCCTCACGGGCTCTGCAACTCGCTCGAAAATCTTTTCGTAGGTACCGGCGCAGAACAGATTTTCTTCCATAGGTCAGTTACAGCTACCATCACAACGAGCCATGCAAGTCTACAAGACTCCATGTCAAAAAATACTTACCTCCATCTATGCATTCCTCAAGCCAAAAGAACTTGAGACTTTGGGTTGTAATTGGACTGCCAGAGAAAGCGCCCCAGAGCTCTGCAATCTGGAGAACGGTTTTTCGCTTTTCAGCGAAATTCTCCTCACATTCGGGGATTTTTTCGACTACTCTTTCTTGGAAGAAGTCCCAGAGACTCTCATCGGGGTGTATGTTGGCCGTGTTCTTGTTCGAGTGTTGAAAGGCGTCCTGAACAATGTCCCACATCAAACTCGAGTAGACTTCGCTCTCATCCAGCTTAAACAAGTTCCCTGAATCATCAAACACATACGAACGGTGATCCCAGCTGCCCACGGCAGTTCCAGTCTCTTTGGCCAAGTCATTGATGGGATTGTCGTCCGTGCCGTGGATCCAGTTGGGACCGAGGTCTACAGTGTGGCCATTGGGTAGTGTTTCCTGGAACATACGTCCTCCAAGTCGTTCTCGGCCTTCGATAATGGTCACTAGCAGACCATGTTGAATTAGGATATCAGCGCAGCGCAGACCGGCGAGGCCAGCACCGATGACAGCAATGTGAGGTTTTGGACCCGACTCTGATTGTTTGCGCTGTAACGTGTCAGGAGCAAACTGCCTGGACAAACATGACATGTGGCTTTTGTCTTGTACACTGAGATGCATATAACATATCAAAGGTACGGGCGTGGTAAGAATCAGGCGGGTTTCTCGCCCGTCAGAAGAGACAGTCGGTGACCCCGGCCCGAAGCATCCCACTAACAACGTTGGGCACGTAGTTGACAAGAAGCAGCAGACTTACCCGCAGAAGTGAGTCCATGGTCAGCGATCTGATCAACAGCTTGTCTTGTCCGGACCCAAAGACGCTCTGGGCTCGGCAGGACTCTAAATCCTGGTAAATGCGGGATGTACTCCGGTTGGCAGGGCTGGTGTAAGAGACTGAGTAAGCGTCCATGGCGGCAAGTATCTGAGGAAATGCAAAGAAAGAGAGAGGGTATTGTAATAGTATTTGACAATCTGATCACGGAAGTTGATTAAACGGGGGAGAGCGCGGGCGAACTAAGCCGCAACGCTGCCGGCTGAATGCTAATCCACAGCGGAAACAAGTGAAGTCACAGGATGCGGGCCTGCGGATGGGTTTGGGGGAACCCCAGACTGAGTGAGACAAAGAAAAAGGAGCTATTGCGGTCTTGAGGGTTGGGAGAAGAGGTCAGGCGGAGGAGGCAGTAGAATGACTGTGGGGATGAGAATGGGGGGGAGGAAAGTGGTGAAATGTCTTGCTCGCAGCGGCTAAGACGTTCTGGTCAGGATCCAGGGTGGTTAAATTGATATAGAGGACCCGTGGATCTGGGTGCAGCGGCCGGGAAGGTTAAGCGCGAGGAAAGTCCAGATAAGGTATGGTGAAGGTGATGGGCTCCCCATGTTGATGACGGAAGTGCCTTTGATTGAGCCAAGGTGTGCGCCACATGAGGTAGTACCGATTGGAGGTGATGGTAATACCTTGCGTGGCCGTACAGGTTCGTGAAAGACTTGAAAGGTGCATCGGACGGAGAAGGTGGCAGAAGGAAGATGACTGGGGGGACATGTTTGCCATTCCAGATTCTGCAGCTTGCCAAAAAAAAAAACACGTTGATCCTTTTCTTCCGACAAAGGTTGTCATGCAGATGCTGTTCAACACACAGCAACTCCCAACTACACCTCCAAGTCATCTTTCCCCTCTCGAGGCACTGGCAATAACAAGTACTCGGGGCTGTCGCCGACTAGGCTCGCGTAGAAACGGCGTAATAGATGGTCCAAATAGCCGGGGGTGTAGGCGCCTTTGTGCTCCGACGCAACGCCCTTCGCAATTTGGCTCAGCCTACAATTGAGCCACCAACACGTGGAAAGTAATTGCGCTTGAGGCTTGAGGCTCGACTGGTTCAGCGGCGCCATCGCTCTTGAGGCTTTCCGCGGGGAAGAGGTGATGGTTGGCTATGCCAGGTATTCCATTGGGATGCGACGCAGGGCATATTCGTGTGTTTGTGTAACGGGAAAACGAGGGGTGGCAAAGAGAGAACTAAGAACTGAACGGAGGAAATTGAGAGGCAGAGCAGAGGGCAGGGAGAACAAGATACGAAGGAGAGCATCGGTATCGACGGTGAGAACTTACAATGCAATACGCGATCGGGCGGGGGAGACTGCACGCGCGCTAAGCCTCGATATCATGTGGGATAACGAAGGAAAGAGGCAGAGAAGAACGAGGGACTCGGGCGTAGGCGTAAACGAAGACGGAGGCGCAGAGGCAGACGAGAAAGGCCCAGGAAGGGACAAAGAAAGAGAGGCCCGGGAGAGAGGGAACGGGAAGAGGTTGATGTTGCTGGTTTGGGACCAGTTTGGATTTTCGGTGAGCTGCAGCTCCCGTCATGAAATTTTTGGCAATGAACCTGGGCGTTCAGGGTCTTTCTTGCTGGGTCTTTTGGGTTAGATCCCAGTTGCCAGGAAAGGGCGGGATCGGATAATGAAAGTTGTGCTGGTGTGCGGTGGAACTGGAAACGGTGGAACCTGGGAAGCCCGTCGACGGCGCAAGAGTGTCGTGAGAAATGGAATGCTGAGGTACTTTGCTGCTGTCCCTACCTACAGGCTACATTACGTTTGAACAGGGAAGGACCAAGGTACCTCTGATATCGTACTCCGCATCTACCTTGCCTGACGGAACACAGGTGAAGAGAAACAAACTATCCGTAGAGAATCAGAGAATGAGAGAAAGTGTGTGCAGAATCAATACTTCCAGCCCAGGTAGGCACGAGTAGGGTGCCACGGTGCTTGGGAAGGTGGAACTCGATGAAAAAGAAGGAGGGGCATTTCTCTTTGGGACCGGTGACACTTCACTGCTCCTTCTCCACCAACAGCGTCATTCCTCCACCTTAATCTCCATCCATGAATCCATGCTCTCTCCCCTTCCACCTGTCACAGACTCACCAAGTCACCACATCCCTCTCCGCCAGCCTACCTCTCGTCGACTGACACACCTCCTGTTATGCCCACCCTGTCACGATGCCGACCAACTGACTCGATGCTCTGCCAGGAAACGTACTGAAACTGCAAATAAGAGGAGCCGACGATACCCTCAAGCTTTCTTCTCTACCTTGAGTCTTGACAGCAAACAAAGTGCCAAGTGCCAACATCCATCTTGTTGCATCTTTTCCTCAAAGGAGCCACACCTGATGCTGATAGGCCCTCCAACACGCCCAATCGGGCCTTGCTGACGCAACTAGGTCAAAATCCCGCCGATCATGCCATCTTCTACAAAGTACGGACAGAATCCCTTCTACTCCTTTACCGTCTACGGACTACGGAGTACCAATCTCCCTTCCCACTTACCGCGCCCGGCCAAGTACCAGACAGAGCCTCAACCCCCAAGGTCACGACGCCTCCGCCATCATCACTCGTCCTCTTTCATTCTCCTAGTACACACCGGTGCCGGCAAGTCGCAGGATGACAGTCAGCCACTATCATCCACCGACACCTTAGAGAATCACCTGTCATGGCAGTCTGCCTTTTGGACCCTCCTCGCTCTCGTACTCAACATGGCAATCCAACCGTGCGGGAGGATCTGCGGGTTCCCCTCGGAACGGGGCTTTTGCCTCAGATAGTTGCCCGCTGTCTGCGTCATAAACTCACTCGAAGCTCTCAACTTCTTTTGCTTCCACTACCACGACTCTGAATGGACTCTAGTTGTCGCATCGCACAAATACTGCACAAATATAGATATCTCCCACAGTGACATGGTCAACCTGCAGCGCAACACCTTGATTCATAATGTCGCTTTCATCCTGGGCTCTCTGTTGTTGAAAGCAATCGAGTTGACCTCTTGCAAAAATATCTTCCGGGGCCAATTTTTAGCATCAGTCTTCCTCGCCAGTTCCCCGTTCGATAAGTTGTTGCTCGGCCTCCTATGTATAGCCGGACCCACGGACGGCCGGCACAGGGCGACCGGCCTGATCGAAGCCGTGGCGGGGAGTCTACTCCGTCCTCCGGTCCACTTCCCGCTCCTTAGACTTGAGGCGGCTGTGGACGACCAACTTCGAGACAGCCGCACGACTTTGAGACAAGCTCTGGCCATTGTCGCCTCCCACTTGCTCCTAGGATGGTTTGTAGTCGAAACGACTACGCGAGCAAACATGACGCACTTTCATGCCGTTATATTTAGCATACTCGGAACGGCTTTTCTTGGCAGCATCACGTCAGGTATCTTTTGCGGCCTGCGTTCCTACAAGCATCGAAAGATGTCATAGGTCTTTATGTCCTATATGGCGTCGGTAACGTCTTGTGGTCAACTGAACTTGTGACTGCTATTGGAGGAAAGTGCCACTAGCTGGCAGTGATTAAAGCAAACGGTGTCATCGACATCGAAGGCTCTTTCAGTCATTGGGTCTGAAGAATCGGACTGGTCCTGTGGACTCTGGGATATCCCGATGGGCCCGGATACACCTTACAACAGGCAATCGGTACGGCATTCCAAAGCCTGTGGACGTCATTCTTCCACTTTGGCGAGAGCCTATGTTGTGGTTGCACTGGCCATGTTTGACTTTGCGTATGATCCGAGTCGTACTTAGAAACCGGCTTGGACCGATGTGCTGGGATGAGATCACGCCATGAAGAGCCAGGGACCAGCCAAGTAGGAAAAAGCTGCCTTACTCGTGTCTACTGTACCCAGCTGGACAAAAGATATTCACGACGGATATATTCGCCTACCTACAACAGTCCGATGTTGGGTAAAGTTATTCGCGTGGTCTGATGTCAAGGTTAGCGTAATGTTCACTGTCTGACCAAAACCAAGGAACTCATCAAGACACTGCGAGCTCGGGGGCAGATCTCTCAAAGCCGTGAGTAACAACATACACATCCTTGATCATTTTACCTGAGAGGCTGCAGTATCGACACCACATACCTGTGAGGCCTTATCGCGTGTGGTCAGACCGCCCTGTGTGAACAGATTTGGCTGATTTTCTGTTTACTGAAAGGGGACCTCGAACCTCGGAATCTCAATATTGAATTGAGAGATGCAACTGTACGGGAGAGACGGCCCCTCTGCGGGGTAAAAGCTTCCCGCCTTTGTGGGGAGCATCAACAGGGGGGGCTCTGCGCCGCGCAGTCTTTCAGACGTCTCAACCAGCGATCATGTCTACTTTGGAGCCAAGTTTCGCAGCAAGTTTTCTCTCAAGATTCCCATCAAATGGCAAAAGTCAATTTCGATTAAGGGTCTTCAGGTTTCACTGGGGTGATTAATCAACAAAGGCCGCGGTAGACTCCGAAAGTGCAAACACAATGGAAAGCTTCTGGCCTACCTAGTCAACATTTCGACATCCTCCCCGCTGCCCCCCGGCCAGGCTAAAGTGCCATCCCCAGACGCCGCCTCATTCCCCAGCCTCCCGCCGTCCAATCACAGCTCCGCCGAATATCAGCACGAACCCGGAAGGTCGCCCACGCTCCACAAGAGCCGAGGCTCGCGGCACCATTTCCAGACATGGCTGGACGCCGTCCATTCCCCCCAGACCGATGTCAACCGAGAGACGCACTGCCTCCTCAACTAAAGTGACCAGACCGCCGGTGCGACCTGCTTGGACTCTCTCTTATCCTCGTGAATCCGCACTCTGACGAGCGAACTTCAACTCCCCTTCCTACCTCGACGGACTTCCCAT